AGACTCTTGGCACTCTTAGGTGAGCAGACTTAGTCAGCCTGTGTTGCCCTAACATATCCCTGCTGAAGACAGAGATACTTGTGGTCCTTCTTGGCATGGTTCTGCTTCCTGGTCTTCTTCAGGGGAGCCATGCGAGGACCCGCAGCAGGGGCAGCAGTAACTGGGCTGATCTACAATTTTTGTTAGTGACTCAATGTGGCAAATTGAAGGTAAGAAGCACACCTCAGTCATGGGAACTCCAGTGCCTATAGACGCCTCCTCATCCATGAAAATGGCATCCTCCACACCATAGTCTGATGCCTCATACTCATCCTCATCTTCTTCCCCATCTCCGAGATCATGTGCAGTCCCCTCTTGAATGTGCATGGTGTTTGTGACAGGAACTCCTTTTTCAGTGCTGGCATTAGGGAGTCCTCCAACACTGGCAGATGCTTTGTCAGCAGCTGCAGAGCTGATGTTTGCTATCCCAGTGGCAGTGGCTGCAATGTCCCCCTCAGCCTTGTCCACTGCCATAAGCTTAAGAACATGAGCCCAGTTGAAGCAGCCACCTTGTGCTTCTCCATCATGGGCTGCTTCAGCAGGAGCAGAGGGCATATCAATTCAATGTTTGGATAAAGGAAAGGTGAGGGGACGGTGGCAGGAGAGAAAGATGGTGATAATAAAGAGCAGAGCGGTGCAATGCATGAGGCAGGGAAGGGAGCAGATTAGAGCCTGCAGTTCCATTTCTTCTTGTTACTTCTCTAACCTTATTGTCTCTTGCAGATATCAATTGTATAAACATTGTATTAATAACCCTAATACAATTACTAATGTAGGTGATGGTTGACTGTGTCACTGAGGAGGGTATATGCTGCTGAGACACATGTGATAATTGACTGCACCATGCCCATTCTGTGGAACCTCAACATATGTGCTGTCTCACCTCATGTGTGAAAAAGTGGTGAGGTGATGATTGCCTGTGTTGTCTGTGAGGAGATGGTCAATGAAAGGAGAAGAAGAAGTATATGACAAACAGGTCTGATCACCTGTTCAGGTGAGGTGATGATTGACTGTGTCATTTGTTAGGCGAGGCCTCAGGTGAGGTGATGATTGGCTGTGTTGTTTGTTAGGTGAGGCCTCAGAATCGGGGACATTTGAGCATAACTTGCTGATAACTCAAACATGCTGGAGTATGGTGGGAAGATGGGAGCAGGAGAAAGGGAGAGCAAGACAATAAGAAGAAGAGTGGGGATTGTAGGACTCATTCTTGTAGGTAGGGTGTGTAGTGCAGATCTGATTGGGGTGGTTGAGGACAATGACCTGGGTGTTGAAAGATGCAGCCCCCTTAGCAGGATCATTCTTGGAATCAGAAGCAATGTTCCCCCAACAGATATCCTTGACTGACATGTTCTTAACATTGAAGCTGACGGACACACTCAACAAGCTGCTCATGATGCATCTCAATGGACTTGACTTTGCTGGTGAGATTGGAAGGAGCAAAATTGATGATCATAATGGCCAACTGGTATGGTTCCAATACCACCAATCTTGTGCACATCCTGGAGGGGAAGACAGAGGGGCTTGTGAGATAGACAAACAGGGGGCTCAATTGCATCAATGGTGTCAAGCAGTGTCTTGCCCTTAATGACACCAGCCTTCATCTCCTTAGTCCAGCCCTTGTACCATGGCATGTTGGTGGATTCCTCAAGCATGTTATCACAGTGCCAGCTGGAGATGGGAATGAAGGGAACAGACTTGGGGTTGTAACCAACCTTCTTGATGAAGGTAGACGTCCACTTGATGATTACTCTGAAGTGAGACTTGGATCACCTGATGGTGTCCATCTTGTTCACAGTGACAATGAGTTGACACATCCTGAGAGAGAGTAGAGAGAGTAGAGGGAGAGAGGGCATGCTCGCAAGGTTGACCATCCTTAGAGATACCAGCTTTGAGCTCACCCATGCCAGCATCAATACTATTGGAGGGCTGATGATTGACTGTGCCCCCAACAAAGCCCACAAAGCCTGAGGTCACAAGGGCAATGGGAGGCTGCCCAGAACATTCCATAATGCAAATCCTGGTGATGCAGGAGGACCCTGTCACCAGGGAGCTCCATCCCAGACTGGAAAATGGCAAGGGAAAGAGATGGGAGGGGCAATCCATGAGCCCAAGCTAAGAGTCCCCAGGTGAGGAAGTGTTTGCTTAGATGCAAGTGAGCCAGTTCAGGGTGCCAGAGAAGAGCTCAGTCATCAAAGGTAGGGTGTGTGAGATTTCATGAAGAACTCTAGGAGAGAGCAGTGAAAAAGCCAGGGAAGAAGCATGAGAAAGCCTAGAGGAAGGAGAAAGTGAGGATAAAGTCATGAAAAACGAGGGAAAGGCATGAAAGGCATGGGAAAGGTGTGAGAATCCCGTGATGCACAGAGGAAATAGGGTTTTGTCCTATATTTACCATCATAGACCGTGGGAGTTGTTAGACAAAGCTTACAAAGCAGCAGAGGACGGATGAGTCAGCCGCAGGACGCGCAAACTCGGCTCCGGTTCGCGCCATCGAGCTATCGCTAACAATGAACGAATGAGGTGAAGATCTGACCATGCATATAATATTTTCCGGTGAAGCGAGTGCACATAGTCGAGGAAGTAGAACACCGTCTACCGGCGATATGACATAAATGATCCGTCCTGGCCATCCAGGCCGGCCCTATACACCCGAAACAAAGAGAGGGAAACGCTTGGAGAGTCATAGTGGGAATATTGTCAGGAGTATCGAATGAGCAAGAGCAAGTTAAACCCGGAACAGAAATATGAAACAGCGCCTGCGTGCCGGCGCGCTTCGCACATATCGGTTTAGACTAAAGGTCAAAGTCTGGCCTTTGCACTGTCGGCCATGCTGGCCGGCCTCGCCTGCGCGGACACGTGCAGGACCCAGGTGGCCACTTCCTGCATGACTGTCTCCTTAATGGGATGTGGTTCCTGCATGAGCTCGTGGAACCCGCCTTCGTATGGCGTAAACGTCTTGTTCTTCGCGCGGAGCTTGGTGAGCCAGGCGAGCGTGGCGGGCTGGGAGTTCACCTCGTCTGCTGTGCCGTGGAGGAGAAGGACGGGAATATTGACTGGGAAAGAGTGGAATTCTCGCAAACGGAGGGCGTCGACGGCGTCTAGCATACTGCGGAGGGAACGGATCGTTCCCCGCTTATGGACGAGCGGATCCTCGTTGTAGGACTTGACCACGTTGGGATCGCGGCTGATCCACTCGGAGCGGACGGCGACGGACACGGTGATGTTGGGGAGGAGGAAAGAGAGGGGAGTTAAAATCGTACGGAGGAGTTTAGACGGGGGGTGGGTGAGCTCTAGCAGCGGGGAGAGACCGACTACACCCGAGATCTTCGGTAGGGTGGCTGAGCGTGACTGGGGGGAGCAGAGGAAGTTGAGCACATTGAAACCTCCCTATGACTTTTCAGTTTCGTTCCTGACACAGGGGAAGGACGAACCATGGAGTGCCCGACGAGGAAGAGTTTCTTGCCAGGGACCCACTCAGCCGTGCGCCGGATAAACCACTCGAGATCCTCCATCTGGTCTTCTGTGGACGTCCGCGTCTGACCTGTACCTTTGTTCGTGCCGTCCCCCTCGCCCGTTCGACCAAACCCGCGTTGATCATATGTGTACACCGCTAGGCCCTGCTCTGCCCAAACGGGGAAGACGTGCTCGTAGCGGGCGATATGCTCGACGTACCCTGCCCGGCGTCAGATACGCGGGAAATGGGGGGAGGAGGGACGCACCATGCAAGAAAAGGATTGCGGCTTTTGCTTCGGAGACACCTTGGGGAGGCTCGTAGGTCCTTGTGTAGAACCTAATCTTGTCGTGCCCCAGCACCCAGTCTTCGTCGTACAGCGAGGCCATTGTTTAGTCCGCGGTATAATACCCAATCAGAAGAGAAGAGAAGAGAGAGGAGGATGGATACTATGAGGAAATGCTGTAGTCTTTTCAGTGACAACACCTATCGTTGATGGAAGGAAGAGGAAGGTGGTTGATAGAACAGAACAGGGGCATGCTGTTCCCTTATTAGGCTTGGCGCGCCATAAACCCCTTGATTAGGCACGACGGAAAGGGTCCAAGGGGATCGAACAAATATAGTAGATCACGTGCTCTAGTAACGACGGGAGCGGAGAGACGGGGACGGGGATGAGCTGGCTTACTACCCCCCCACAACTCTTCTTCTTTCCACCATCCTTTCACTCACACCAGATGCTTCATCTCTCTCCGCAAGGTCAGGTAGAGATGGTCGACTGGACCTACCTTCCCATGCCTGCTCACTTTCCCCGGGACTCCAAACACCCCGTCCCTACAACTTCTACTTTCTGTCATAGAAGGAAACTCGCAATATTCGCTCTTTCCTGCCTGCTGGTCGGCGGCTACATCTTCCGCGAGCACCTCAATTTCTTTCTCTCAACACCTTTCTTATTCTCGCACTGCCATCCTTCAAAAGACGACTGGACCAAGCTCTCCCCTGGTACTGTGAAGTGGTGGGACTGCGCCGGAGAGGGTGGGGCCGCTCCGGGCACAGACTGCGGGTGGATCATGTATGCTCCCTCTTTTTTTTGCGTATTGGATCTTGTTAACGGTCTTAGCGTCCCGACCGACTACTTTAACGCCTCTGCTGGTGTCACCCGGGTAGCTCTAGGTAGGGTCAAAGCCCGGAGGGAAAGGCAAGGGATCGTCCTCGTCAATCCTGGTACGTCCTCCGTCTCTCCGAAAATGTACCTAATCTCTCCTAGGCGGACCAGGCGGCTCGGGCAAACAGCTTGCCGTGCAGGGAGGGTCTTCACTCCAAGCTGCCGTCACAGGGGAGACATACGATATCGTAGGTTTTGACCCTCGCGGCATAGGCGAAACCCTCCCCCCTACCCAATGCTTTTCGTCCGCTGCACAGAGCGCCCTTCTAACAGTCAACACCGTTCTAGACAAGGAGTACGACGTCCCCAGAAATGCATCAGGAGAGAGGGAGACCTTTAAAAGGAAGATGATAGAGGCCGACGCCCTATATCGCACCCAGTATGCCCAGTGTGAGCGCATGGGCGATGCTGCGCGGTACATGGGCACCACCACGGTCGCTCGGGATGTGGACTTTATCACTAGGGTGTTGGAGGGCGAGGAAGCGCTGATGTGAGCTCTCTTGCGTTATCGGTGAAGGGTGCTGATCGGGTGATAGAAACTTCTGGGGAGCAAGCTACGGCACCATCCTCGGCCAGTACCTAGTAAACATGTTCCCTGACCGGGTTGGCCGAGTCGGAATAGACGGCGTTGTGGATGGTATCGCCTGGTCCAGTACGTGGCCCCTTTACCTCTCTGGCATGGCTAACCCTCAGCAGGTGAGCCAAACTTCAAATGGTACCGACCCTGGCTGTCCTCCACGGAAGATGCATACGATATATTCCTTTCCACCTGCTCCGCCGCTGGCTCGTGGAGCTGCCCGCTCACGCTCTGGAAGGGCGAAGAGCCGGCGTTCATTCGCCAACGGCTCGAGAGCTGGTTTGACGAGTTGTACGACCGCCCGCTCGTGGTTAACGACCTGGACAACCCGGGGTTCGTGACATCCGGCATGGCGAGAGGGTTCCTCTTCCAAACCCTGGCTGTGCCGAGTACCTGGCCAAAAGCTGCAGGCATCCTAGCCGCTGCTATGGCAGGGGAGGGCAAGCTCCTCCTCACTCAGAAAGGGTTTTATCCACCACCACAGGACATGTCCCGCCAAGCCGTCACGTGCAACGACGCGCTGCCGCTCACTCCCTCTACCGCACCTTCATACGATGAGGTACTGGACGAGTTGCTGGACGTGATGCATACGCAGACAAAGTTTGTTTGGAACGTGCTCACCTCCGAGCCGGACTCGGGCTGCCAGTACTGGCCCGTCAGCCCCCCGGAACGGTTTACTGGTCCGTGGAATCATACGCTGCGCAATCCCATCGTCATATTCAGCAACACCGTGCGTTCTCCCATTCTCTTTCCCAATTCCTGTATACTCACAGAATATCAGGCCGACCCAGCAACCCCGATCTCCTCAGCCAGGCTCGTCAGGGCCCGCCTAGGCTCATCCTCCGTCCTGGCACTGCAAAACGGTCCTGGACACTGTACGATCTCCCTTCCCTCTCTGTGCAACATCCGCCGGTCACGCGCCTTCTTCGAGTTCGGTAAGCTCCCCCAGGACGGGGAGGTGTGCGAGGTCACTGTGGGTCCTTTCCCAGAGGACCGCGCGGAGCTCGGGGAGGCAGAGATGGAGTCGGTGAGCTCGGCAATACGGCTCGGAGAGGTCCTCCACGCTGTTAGGAGAGCATAAGGCCTGGACCTTGCCCTGAAGAAGTGCGATACCCTGAACTACGGATACCAGTCGCGTGCGACACCTCCCATACCTTTATGGCCCTTCGAAACACGAATTTCCGATACCCGGAATCTTGAGTGCGGCGCGCTCTGATGCTATGATACCTACACCCAACGGTAGCTGTATTTTATACTGTCGATCCTAGGATACACGCTCCTTGTCATACGTAGATACCAAGGCACTGTGTGCCCTCGCCTCACCAATGGAAATATTTACCTGTATATTCTGCAAATTACTACTGGAACACGCGCCCTTCCCTCAACTAGCCCGCAAGAATGTAATTGGATTGCGCTGAACTCACACTACCCACAGCTAGCTGTTTAGGCCTGCTGGAAGGCAGACAGATCCGAGTCCATCATCAGCGCATGCAGTGTCTCAGCAGCTTCGAGTTTTGTCCTCTCATCCTCCGTATATTTTCCCAGCTGATGCTCGCTTCCCGGGAAAAGAGCCTCATCTAACTGGCATATCTCGTTCTCGTCCGGAATGACACCATCAGTGAAATACGCCCGAATCTTGTTAATAGTGCACAACGTCGGGACAGAGCTCGTCACATGTCCCGGCCCATTCTGTAGTAGGAGCGCTGCAGAGTCTCCGAGGAGCTCCTTGACTAGTCGAGCGCTGGCGATAGGCGTAACGGGATCGGCCGTATTGCTTAGCACTAGTGTCGGGTTCCGTAGAGTGTGGTTCCATGGCCCTGTGAATCGTTCAGGGGGAGTCACGGGCCAATAGTGACACTGGGCATCAGGCTCGGTTGTGAGGACGCTGAAGGCAAACCGGGTGACTTCCTTGGAGACTCCCAGGATCTCGTCAACGAGCTGTTCGTTCGTGGGTGGCACGTAGAGAGGAGGCTTGGGTGCGTCGTTGCACGAGACAGCTTGTCGTTCCAGGTCCGCAACTCGTGTTCCAGCGGCGTGAAGTAACAACAACGGGTGACCGTTGCCGTCTATGGCTTCCTTGAGTGCTGATCCTGCGGTGGGCCAGAGGAGAGGTTGTTGTAGCATTCGGAACATGAATGCTACCACAGAGAAGTCAGCCACGGCGCTGTACAGGGAAGAAGAGCGCCTCTCTTCTGGCCATTAGGAGGTGACAATACCCCAAGCTGTCCGGTGTGCAACAGTCAGAGGCCGCTCATACAGGCTGTCAAACAACGCCTCTATCCGATCTCGAATCAATTTGGGATCTTGGCTACCTTCTTCTGCGAGAGCGCAATCCTTCAGCCCTGCCTGAGGAAAGCTTGAGCACGTCCCGGGTGATTCTGGACGGGCAGACCTTAGTGCATTCTGTTGTGAACCAGTCGTACGCATCCTCGGTCGAGGACAACCACTGCCGGTAGGACTTGTACATCGGCTGATCTGTGTGGGTATGTTACACGTGCAAAGCAAGGAGGAATTCAGGCGTACTAGCCCACGCGACGCTGTCGACAATACCGTTGATGGCGACCTTTCCTACGCGGTCGGGGAACCTGTCTATCATTCAGCAACAACACCCGCTTCTGAACAGAACGTACATATTGACCAGATACTGTCCAATAATAGATCCATACGAGCCTCCGTAGTAATTGCTAGAGTATGTCCGTTTCAGCACCTTTCCAAATCACATCAATCGCACTCACATAAGCGCATCATCTCCCTCCAAGACACTCGTGACGAAAGCAATATCCCTCGCTACAGTCGTAGTGCCCATATGCCTTACCCGGCTTCCCATGCTCACCCCACACATCCGGTACTGAGTTTCCACTAGAGCGTCCATCTCCTCCTGCTGTCTAAGCAGGCTGAGACGAAGCTCGGCCTCGGGGATGGAAGACGAGTAGTCGAACCCCCGCGTGAGGACGGTATTGGACCTCAGGGCAGTATTTTGCCCGGCAGGCAGGCTTTGGGTATGCGGTCTGAGGACTGTCAGCTCTGCGCAATGCACAGGAGGAGTGCGTACTCAGAATCTCCGATACCACGCGGGTCATCATCTTCGGCACAGCTAATCTGTTGAAGGCAGCTGACGCACCAGCGCCGAAGATGACCATCCCCTTCCTAGGCGTCTTGCTAGCCCTCACCCTCCCCAGAGAGACCTTACTCATCCCTGCGAGAGGGTCGGTCCAGTCCGTAGGCACCCTGCACACCCATAGCTCGTATAAGCCTATGCAAATCGTGGAACGTGTCAGAAGAGACGTACACGACGAATCCACTTACCCCAAACATCGCCAGCTGAAGATCTGACCAGCTCTGCGTCTGTACCTCCTCTGAGGTTTGTAGTGTCGTTTGCCTCGCTTGCAAGAGCAGGTGCGGCAATGAGCTGAAGACCGGGGATCAACCGGTATAAAATGCCCAGCAGGAGGCAGCCAGCTAGCGCTCGCAGGGCCAATTTTTGGCAAGTCCGTAGGTTATCGGCACGCTGGTTGAGGACAGGCGACTCTGGGTGACCCATTATAGTATATTATATAACAGTTAACAGTTGTCCAAGGGCGCAGCGACTGACGAAGCGACTGGCGGACACAGGCAGATGTTCATCCCGGTCGACAGCCTATATATCCATGGATAAGAATCAGTCTCCACAACAAAAGATGTTCGGGAATCAATTCATTCCCAATTATCAACTCTAGACCAGTCCACAACCTTTTTAATACACGACGCCGCGCAGGGAGAGAGGATGCATGATGTATTCAAGCTACAATTTACCGGACCTTTTCCCCTCCTCTGCCCCCCAAGCTAGTAAAGTAAAGGTACAAGTCCACACCAAACATCAAACGTTGTTGAAAAGAGCGTGGGAGCGTGCTCATGACCCGCAAGGGGGGGGGATAAACAAGATATACGCTAGACTCTGGGAGGGAGAGGAAAACAAAATATGGCTACAAGTCGGTGTGTCAACCGGTTTGGGATACGGCCCACGCCGTCTCTTCTACTCCTTACCGCACTGCGGCAGGCAGACAACTGTCGCTGTTGGGGAGATCAAGGCTGCGCTGGCGGAGGGGCGGGCGCATCCAAGGGGATCTGCAATCGGGCGTGAATAGCACGCGCTACTGCCTCTCCATCAAGAGGGATCTCGTTGCCCTGGAACCCGTCTACGTAGTTCGCTGACCAGAGCTATCAGTGCTGCCCATCATTATGGAATAGGGAGGGACTTACTCTGCGCCGGGACGCTACTCCCCGTTACGTAGGTGTCGTTCCACCACCCATAGTGGGTCATCCCCAGGGCCGAAGCCGTCCATTGATAGTCGAACGCCCAGCCTTGCGGCATGAAGAACTCCATTACTGTGGTGCGAGGCGTAGGTTTCATCCAAAGCAGGGAGGTAAGGCCGTTCCCATGCACACCACACATAATCTGTACGGAATCAGCATCATCCACAGAGGTATGAGAGAGAAGAGACGTACAGTCGTCCTTCCCGCTAGGCGAATCTGCTCATCACGCGTCAACTTATCCATATTGACCACGTTAACCTCATAGCCATGCTCCTGGCTCAACCTCTCAAGGGCAGCCACAAACCTCTCGTGGTCTTGCTCGATAAGCATCCTCCTGCCCCAGGTCTGGCGGGAGACGTAGGTGATCACGGGTTTGTCTTCCTGCTCTTCATGAACTGGCGCTGGCTGGCCAGGGGCAGGAGGTGGCGAGTGCGGGTGAAGGAAAGGATTGAGGTCACCCCCTGCGAAACGGACGACGTTGGACCTGATAGGCGCCCACCAGTTGCGTACTGTCTCGTGGACAAATGCGAGTGCAGCCATGCGTTGTCTGGGAAGCCAACCCTCGCCGCGAATTGCTGCGCTCCGGTCGGAATAGACAACCCGATCAAAAAGGAAGGCCTTGCCCGTTTCGGCCATATCTGCTACGTCTTGCTGGAAAAGGAGCTGTGTAGAGGGGAAGGAAGCGAATAGTACGTATTGATTCATGGATGCGTAATCGCGCCACTTGTCGGCAGGAACGTGCGGGAAGAGCCAGCGACGTGGGGCAGGCAGACGCGTCTGCCCGAGAGGGGTAATACTCGGGTCGAGCGAGGAGTAGGTTCGCCAGAGACCGAACATCAGCTCGGCGCTGAAGTGGTAGTAGTGCGCGATGAACTGAGGCGGGTCATTCGTCCACCAGGACGTGCCGTGTAGCCGCACCGCGGAATCGCCGAAAAGTTGGTATGCCCGAGAGGGGGAAATGATCACCATATCCTTGTCCGTCGGCTCGCGCATGGCGACCTCCTCCGGCGAATTGTAGATCCCAAAGCCCGAGCCAGTTATTAGGTTGCGGGCGGGGAAGGATTCGGGGTCGAGGGAGACGATGTATGCTGTGCCATTGAGGAAGTAGAGGTTCTCAAAGATGGTGAATCCTGGGTGATGTCAGCACAATCCTAGCATCTCAAACGCGGGACTTACCCGGAGCATGGCTGAGCACGTTGCTCGGTGTGATCCTTTTATTGGGAAAGTACTCCCTCACAGCGGCAGCATACGGTTCCCTCTTAGGTCCAAACATCGTAAGCAGATCGTTCTGCTCGACCTTCTGCCTCGGTAGGTCATCATCATCCCCCAATTCGCTCGCCTCCTGTGCAGCCTCGTCGATCAGCTCCTCCATATCCGGTATACCATCCCAGTCCAGTTCTACACCCTCCAAGCCATCCTCTGCTCCTGGTGCTCCTGGGTGGGCACCCTTGGCGGGGCGAGGCGATGGTGAGGGATGAGAGTGTGCCACGTCGGCGATGGGAAGAGGGAGGTAGGCGCGATACTCTGATAAGTGGCTGGTGACGTCCGGTTGTATGACAAGGAGGAGAACGACGATGAAGGAGAGAAGGAGTACGAGTTCGCGCCTTGTTGGCGGATAGAGGAGGGAGCGGGCCATGCTCCGCGAGGAGAGGGAAGGGTGGGAAGAGGAGGGGAGGGGGAGCCGCTGTGGGACTGGGGCGTATTGAGCTATGGTGGGCAAGTGAAGGTGTCGCGGTTAGATTGAGGGAAAGTGGCGTGAGTTGTGAGTAAATGGGATGCGGTTGGTGAATCTTTCTATAACTCTTATTGTTAGTAATTATAGAATGAAGGAATAGAAAAGAAATAGAAGAGAATTGTTAAAAGTTGAGATGGTCGTGGTCGAGGAGTAAAGAGTTAAAGAGTAATGTCTGCCCAATTTCCTTTTCCCTGTCTGTAACACCTTCACGGAACCATTATTCACCGTCAAGGCCACGTGCGTCTACTCATCCCATGGGTCGCATTCCATCCGGAACCGAATTCTCTTGTACGGGTTACATGACTCCATTTCCGTACATGCACTAATGTTGTTATCGAAGACGTTCAGACTTCAGACGTGTTTGACGCTGTCACCATCAACAATGATGCCCTAATACTAGTGCTGGCCTTGAACCGCTGCAGAGAGACCGTGCAGGGTCTCCATCATTGTCTGGATGGCATCTTGATCAGAAGACGTTCTAATAAAAGACGCTGGCCTAACATCTATTCCGTATCGTTACCTTTGTTCCACCTATATCAAGTCAACCTCGCCAGCGGTTTCGGCACATACCTATCCGCAGTCATTCACAACCCCAGTGAATAACAAAAGACTCACGGTTCCTCCAAGCACTCCCTCTCCTCCTCCGTAAGTTGCATGTCGCCCAGTATCGCCTCATCCAGGCGTTGTTCCTGCTTCAGTCAGCCACCGGAACACCGTATCACCATTGGCTCACAGAAGAGATCCCTACTACAGGGCTAACAATTCTCCCCGAAAGCCAAGCGAGCGCGACGCATCCCATCGCGCACCCCCTGGCTCTTGCAACCCCCTCCACGCGCCTAATGATCTCCCTATCCTGCTCCGTCGTCTCAAAGCTCGTGAACGATGCCCCACTAGTCAACTTTGTCCTCTCCGTCTCTTCCCCCAAGGGCCTCGCCAACAGTCCACTCGCCAGCGGTCCCCAGGGGATCAAGCCGATCCCCTTATAGCGGCAGTAAGCGTTCACCTCCCTCTCGTCCTCCCTCGTCAACAAGCTCCAATTACTCTGCATACTCACGAATCCTGTCCATCCCCTGCTTTCCGCCACCTGCTGGTACGCCTGCAACTGCCAAGCGAGCATCGTACATGCTCCTAGGTAGCGCACTTTCCCAGCAACGACAAGATCGTGCAGCGCCTCCATCGTCTCCTCAGCAGGGGTAGCAGGATCGTACCGATGAATCTGGAGCAAGTCGATAGAATCCGTCTCGAGCCGCGCAAGTGAGTCAGACACGGCGTTGAATATCGCTGCACGGGAAAGCCCGTGTTGGTTCACGTAGTCTCGCGTAGCCATCAGTGCCCGGGCTGCGGGGGGTTGGACTGAGGGGACCGCAGCGACGAGCCGGTGACATTTCGTCAGGATGAGCACTTTAGATCGGGGGATATCGTACTACCCTTCGTCAGCTGCGAGGGACAGATTAGGAGGAAAGACGCACTGTCTTGAGGAACTTGGCTATTACTCGCTCTGATTCCCCTTGGGAGTAGACGTTTGCAGTATCGAATGTGTTCACACCCCTATCCCAGGCCATCTTGATAATCGGTAATGCCTATTCTCCCCGCATAATCAGCCTTCGCTCAAATAAGAGAGACGACGTACCTCATCGGCGTTCTTCACCCATGCCTGCCCCACCATTCAGCAAAATGAGAAGAGGGAGGGAGGGACATACAAGCCATTCCGGACTGCCGAATGCCATCATCCCCAGGATAGGCCATGAGACGCGCAGCCCGCTGTTTCCTAACCGGTGGTAGGTCACCTTTGGTTTATCGTTCTCATCCTGATCCATTCTGCCCCCGAAGGAGTGGTCGAATAGCGGGATTGTTGTACAGTGAGGGCGCGGTGAGAGACAGAGTTGTAGGAGTTCCGAGCTCACCGAGTACGAACAGTGTGCACGAGAGAGATCCGATGCCAAAGATATCTTCTAGACCTATATAGACCAGGTATACGGAGTTGATTCTGCCTGAGGTATTTCCGATGTAGGATCCGGGAAACAGAGATATCAAAGAATGTGAAACTAGCTGCTGGACGGTGTCAGACTTCTCCAGGACCCAGATACTCTAGTGACAATGCGGAGAGAGAAAGCAGTCGATGTCCGTTGTATTCAGCACATCGGCTGAACAGACACAATCCAAGCAAGATAGAGATGAGCGCAGGTTAGATCAAGCATTCGATCGAGGAGGATGCTTGAAATGATTTGTGGGGAAACGACGATACACGTGACTCCGAACCCAGAGTCCCATAAGACGCATTTATTGTTAACTATTAGATTTCATTTTCATTGACAATTATAATATCAACATATTCAAACAGACTTACTTCCATATGAATTTATTGGATCGTGTGCTCCTTGTGCAAGGACAACCATCTGCAGATGGGGCATGCTTCTCCATCAATCACTCGGACGACCATGTGCTCTCAACTGAGGAAGAAGCCGCAGTCGAAATGTGCAGAATGCGCCGTCATCTATTAGTTCGACTGGCTCATCTTGATATCTAGCGCAAGTGTCTGCTGTTGAAGAGGCACAGGCGTCATGGGCAAACAACCCTTCATGCTCAGTGGCACCGTCGACGACAACGTCAACCATACACAGCACATGTCAAACACTCGCGTACCACTCAAGGCCTTCGCAGCATGCCTCCTTATCCTTCTTCTCTGGTGGCATATACCTTTCCGTTCTATTGTTATCACTGTAGCGTCTAGCTCGGATGAATTAGCTAGGGAGGACTGGCGTGTCCTACCCGTGGGGACAATACGCTGGTGGACCTGTCCTCCTCCGACTAACCCTACCGGTCCAGAGGGAGAATGCGGGTTCCTCATGTGCGTCCCCGTCGACTCAGAGCCCTCCTTATGTATGCTGATAGTCTGCAAGAGTACCGACAGACTATACAGACTCGACGGCAGGAACGACTAAGGTCGCATTAGGGCGTAAGCGAGCTACTGCTGCACCAAGACTCGGGACGGTCATCTTCGGTGCTGGTGTGTCCCTTCCCACCAGTGAGATGATGGCATGCTAACCTTGTTGTGTGCAACACAGGAGGGCCGGGCGGACCAGGAGGACTGGTAGTACGCTTGGGAGGGGAGGGGATGCAGGCTTCTGTTACTGGCGAGCAGTGGGACATCGTTGGCATCGACCCTCGGGGAATTGGTGATACCGAGTACGTCCTCCATCCCCCCAGTGAGTAATGACGCTTACCTACTCCGATACAGGCCAACAACCCAGTGTCTTCTTCCAGGACAGAACAACGCCCTCACAGCAAACACTGTCCTCCTGCGGAACTTCGACTACTCGTCCTCCGTCCCCGAAGCTCAACTACGTCAAAGCCTGCTCAGGCAGCAGGAGGAGATGGACGCCCTGGTAGAAACGCAGTACAGGATGTGTGGGGTGAGCATGGGCGGAAAGGTGCGGTATATGGGGACGACGATTGTCGTGAGGGATATTGAGAGGGTCGTGAGCGCTCTGGAAGGGGAGGGGACGTTGATGTATGCGCTATGAAAAGGAGTGCGAGACTCTGCTCAAAGTGTGTAGAAACTATTTTGGAGGCTCGTACGGTTCTATCATCGGGCAATATCTAGTCAACATGTGAGTGCTTATACCAAGTGTCGAAGTGATTCTAACGCCATCGCAGGTTTCCCGAGCGTGTGGGCAAAGTCATGGTAGAGGGCATAGTCGACGTAGTCGCCTGGGCCAGTACGTTCCCCCATTCCATCCCCTCCTACAACTCACTTCCTCAGACCAGCCCATGTACAAATCTTACCGCCAATGGCTCTCCTCCACCGAAGACGCCTACACCTGGTTCACCACCGAATGCGCCAAAGCCGGTCCGCAGACGTGCGAGCTCGCTCGGCGGGAAGACGAGGGCGAGTCTGAGCCTATTCGAGAAAGACTGGAGGCGTTCTTTGATCGGCTGTATGAACGGCCTTTGACCGTGGCCGATCGCCGGTTTTGGGGAATCGTCACGTCCGGCATGGCGAGAAGTGAGTTCGTCGGTCCCAAAGCTAGCAGCTCGTTCACGCTTCTGTGCAGCGTTGCTCTTCCGAATGCTACAGATGCCGACTGTTTGGCCAACTACCGCAGTCGTTCTCTCCCAAGCGATTCTCGGAGATGGCCAAGCGCTGCTGATGCTCGACACCCTCTTCGCAGGGTACAAAGACCTAGAGCGACAAGCCGTATCATGCAATGACGCTCCCAAACCCCCGCTCTACGACCCACCGACAAACGAGCAGCTCGTCGATGAGATCTTGAGCGTGTCGAAACAGGTTTCTAAGTTTGCATTTAGCGTGCTCACTGCAGAACCGGATGCGCAGTGTCATTATTGGCCTGTGAACCCGCCAGAACGGTTCACGGGCCCGTGGAACCATACGCTGAAAAATCCGATTTTGGTGCAGAGCAATACCGTCAGTTAACGTCTTTTCTCCATCGCTCGATTTGAATTTTCGCTAACCTCCGCCTTAGGCAGATCCTATTACGCCAATCTCAAGTGCTCGTCTGCTCAAAGATCTCCTAGGAGGCTCCGCGATCCTGGTCCTGCAAAATGGGCCAGGCCACGGCACAACCTCCTTCCCGACGTTGTGTACAATCAACATAACTCGAGCATATTTCACAGATGGCATCCTCCCGGAGGACGGTCATGTTTGTGAGCTAGAGACGCCTCTGTTCCCCGCGGGGAATCATGATGACCAGAAGATATATACGATAGCAGAACGCAACCAACTATCTGCAGCTGAAAAGCTGTTTATGATGATGAAAGGGTTTGATATTGATGCTCTGTCCTCTTCCTTCGATTAGATGCAGGCGCTTTGTTTCTTGGATCTCGGACGGAGATGTACTGCTATCAAAGAATTCTTCATCTCCTCTCAGCAGTACCACGTGCGAGGGTTGTAGAGATGTATGTATGCTGGGTCTTAAAAGTATGTATGCTCTTACACTAGACGGATGTATCGAGCCAAGACTCTTCGTGAACCTCAATGCCAAATATCCAACGCACGGGGGCTAATTCGGATTCCAACTGTTCGAAATCGTGCATGCAACGAGCATTCAGCTGACGAAATTGGATTTCATTCCTATCTACGAACTGACTCAGTAGTGCAACCCTTCCCCCGAGACCTTTCCATCGTCCTACGCGAGGAGCGGGAGGATCATGCTGGTGTTGGTGGTCCAGCCGTCACCGCCGATGTTGTACACAACCATCTGAGTGGCATAGTATGGCGAAGTCGTCCCGCAGATATCTTCGACCATGATCGTGTCGTAGCCCTTGAAGACAGAGTCGATCATGGTGCCGAACACGCACTGATCGGTGTTGACACCACCGAAGAACAGGGTCGTAACGCCAGTGTCGTGGAGCCACTGCTCGAAGGGTGTCATGATACCCCACAGGCCGGAAAGCGTGTCTGTCGGGATGAAAGCTATCAGTTTCTCTGCACCACGAGGGAGTTACATTTAACGCACTCTTGTTGAAGTAGAAGTCGGTACCCATCTCAACACCCTGCAGATAGCTGTCGTAGAGTGGGCCGTACGCTTGAGCATTCCATGACCCACGGCAAAGCAGCTTGCCAGCATCGATCGTCCCGTTGGAGATCGTACCCATCTCCGAGCAGAAAGAGGTGTTGGCATGCACGCCATCGGAGAAACCGTAAAGGAAGGACGGCGACAACAGATGAGTGAGATCGTACTCGTCGATGCCCCACTGAACCCATGCAATCTTCATCCCCTTGGCACGGAAGGCATCGATCATCTTCAAGGTGGGAGCAATGGCAGCACGGCCAGCAGTAGCACCGGCGTTGAGTTCAGGGTGCAGGAAGAAGTCTTTAGGGCTAATGTTAAACCACAAACTTCCGGTTAGATGAAGAAGGACCGACTCTGCATGTCGACAATGACGAGAGCCGACCTCTCTGGTGCAATGATAATGCTAGAGTTCTTGTGAGATAGAGTAGGAAGGGTGACTGGGCAGGAGGAGCCATAGCGCGTCAAGTCGAAGGTGTTGGCTGCGTGATCGTAGAGCCAATAGTTATAGTAATTACCGAACTTCTGTGTGGCTGAGGCGAGAACTGCCGAAACGGCCAAAAGCAAAGAAAGACGCTTGAACATGATGCTGGTCGTGAAAGTACGTAAGGCGGACAGGCACAAGGACAAGAGATCGTGCAGAAGCCTGGTTCTTCCTCGCTCATTTTACGAGGCATTTATACTGTTTTCGATAACGTGCAGACCAGGGAAAATGTGATGACCAAGAATGGATTAACGGAGCTCCGGAACAAATGTTGAATGGATTACACGGACCGCTTCGCTCGTCTCACCAAGAGTGTTTGACCCATACAAAACAAGCCAAGCGATTAACCCCGGTTGAGACACGGACAACGAACGGAGCTGAGAAGAGAAGCCTCACAACCCCAGCCTTGCGCGCACAGAGAAAGAATTAAAGATAGAAGGCTGTAATTCGTCGCTTGGTCTTATCGCAAAAGACTTTTGTTGACATTCGATTTGATTCCGCATTCCGGTGAACCCGTCTTTCATCTTGTCTGTCACATTCACCGGCGCCTTTCCTGGTTGGGATTTCTAGCGGGAGATGCACACTCGAGATTTGTCCTCTGCGGATCATTTTCCTGAAGACTGCACTAATACATTAAGAGGGTAGGGTCAAATTTTGGCCAAGCTGGCACACTGGTGTCGCCAAAAAGTCGCTCCCTCGCACTTGAGTCAGGGAACTTGAGAAACACAATTCAATTTTCTATAGAATAATATCGTGAGGGGGGAGAGGTCCACGGCCAGATGGACTCCGGATATCCACTCCGGGCATCACCATTCGTGGATTTACGCCAAAAGAGGAAGGATCATGCTAGTGTTGGTGGTCCACCCATCGCTGCCGATGTTGTAGACAACCATCTGAGTGGCATAGTATGGCGAAGTCGTCCCGCAGATATCTTCGACCATGATCGTGTCGTAGCCCTTGAAGACAGAGTCGATCATGGTGCCGAACACGCATTAATCGGTGTTGACGCCGCCGAAGAAAAGAGTCGTAACACGCGTATCATGCAGCCACATCTCGAAAGGAGTCGTGGTACCCCAGAGACCGGAGAGCGTGTCTGCGAAAAGACCCATAAGTATAGACACACTGAATCCCTTGAGATCAACCTACTCTTGTTGAAGTAGAAATCGGTGCCAAGCTTGAGACCCTCGAGGTAGCTGTCGTAAAGAGGACCGTACTGGTGGGCGTTCCAGGAGCCGCGGCACAGCTTCTTGCCGGCATCGATAGTGCCATTGGCAACGAAGCCCATCTCCGTGCAGAAGCTGGAATCGTCGCGGGTTTTATTGGAAGAGAAGCCATAGAGGAAAGACGGTGACAACAAATGAGTGAGATCGTACTCGTCAATGCCCCACTGGACCCATGCAATCTTCATGCCCTTGGCGCGGAATGCGTCGATCATCTTAAGAGTTGGATCGACGGCGGCGCGGCCGAGAGTGGCACGAGCACTCAAATCGGGGTGCAGGAAATAGTCTTATGTCATGTTAGGATTGGAACGTCAAGGCGAGCAGAATGTACTCGCTCTGCATGTCAACAATAACGAGCGCCGAGCGCTCCGGAGCAATGGTGATGCTCGAATTGGCATGCGAAAGAGTCGGCAGGGTGATGGGGTCAGAAGAGCCATAGCGAGTCAAGTCAACGGTGTTCGTAGTGGTGTCGGACAACTAGTAGTTGTAATAGTTGCCAAACTTGACGATGTTGCCACTAACGAGGGACGCCGAGGTCACGAGAGCGAGAGCGATGCGCTTGAACATCCTGAACAGTAAAGACAAACTGGAACTCTGCGGCTTGATTGCAAAAGACCTATTTTACCCAATCTGATTGCTTCGCACTTTATATCTTCACGAAGCATGGCGAACGAAGTCTTCCTGCCAATGCCGACAATTCGCCAAGCCATCAACAAGTTAGCCATAACCTCAGAGAGACCCGGCTCGCAATGAACCGCTTGGCTGGGCGTTCCAACATAAGCATTACAGGTAAGTAGAGCCGCGCAGACAGCAAGGCATCAGATACGAGGAGGATGAGTATTCCGAACTAGACTGGAGACCAGCTCGCTCCCATTCGCCGGGTGGTCGTTATCGCAAAACAAGGGTGATGTTGGGTTCCAATTGGTCCCGCAACCAATTGTGGATAATTCTTCATAGCCACTGATTCTTGGCATGTGTTCGTTCCGCCGGGGTTTGCAGCGGAAACGTGACTGGCACAACCCACATCAGCGAGGATGTTCGCCCTGTCTCGTAAGTTAACTTGGCACGAGTCATTGCATTCATCCTAGGATTTTCGGCCTTCTTCCCGCTTTCCTTGCTGTAAGACAGCTTATCAGTCTCCGTATTCAACTGTCATATTCAGACACACTCAGGCAAGTTTCCGAGACTCCGGCTCCAAGGTTTGAAATACGACGATCCTACGTTCTTCAATAGGACCACCAATATCCTGTTCCACCGAGTTGCCGAAAACAGGAGCTCCGGCTCTCCAGCAAACAGTCGCCTACTGTCTCGAGTAGATGGAAGAGACAATAACAGCATTCATTGTAGTCCGTACACCCTGAGACTGTCGACCTAGACAAACGTGCTCCCCACATCCTTGACAGCTGAGATGAAAATACTGACAGTCACCTGTGGGGTACTCCATGTCTGAAGGAGATATAAGAGCTGTCGTGTCTCCGGATCGGAACCCGACTGATTTTCTCTCAAAAAGTAGTCTCTGCGGTGCTTCTGGTACCGATGACCCCAGAGGCGTCATGACAGCTCGAATTTCGGGACCCGCTCGTGCGTAAGATAAGGACGTCCACCGCCAAGCCACTTGCAGCTCAGGAACAGATTCATTCATTCGAAGTTTGGGGCTAACGGATCAGGTGGCTATGAGTCATTAAGGAATTGACTTGTGTACTCAGGGCTGACGTGCTTGGGTGGATGACAGGACCTCTGAGAGTTTGTGGAGAAGTTCTGATAGCAGCGGGTCTTGGGAATGTGATTCAGTACTAGCCAAACAAAGCATGCTCTGAACGGCTCTCAGCCCGCAATTCCTGCTCAGGTCGAGAGCTTGAGCATATTCCAAGAGCAGAAGATAACAAGAATCCGCTTCCAAACCGCTCGAGGTTCAGGAACAGATGCTTTTGATAGTCGTGAATCATGAGACTAGCCAATCGGGTCGCTATAGCTCGTGGATAATCGAATAGTTCTAGGACCAACAACTTGCGTGAGTTTGGAGAGTTGAGACAGTGATTCAATGCAGCAAGGCACGAGACGCTCCTTGTTCGTAAGGTCGCCTGCCAAAGGCCATGAGAACTGCACATTCACAGCCAGAAAAGGAATTACATACCCCCAAATGCTCAGATACGGTCCTCCGCTACCAAGCGACTCATAGTCCCGAAACAGAGGTTTTGTTGACAGGTCGGGGGTAAGGCTAGCCAATCAAGTGCCCATGAGTCATTCGTGAATTGATTTGTTCGCTCGGCGCCGACATTGGCTTGGGCAGATGGTGGTGGTGGTGGGGGGCCGGCTTGTGCAGGATTGGGTGCTGATCCCAGTCTGCAAGGTCTTGGGTCGCAGAACTGACAAACCCGCTTGATTCAGATAGGGCAACCTCCTACTCATCACGTAAGGTTCGACGCTCCCTTACCCTCTCCCCAGCAGGTTCACTTCCCCAGGTATGAACCTTTTGGCCAATCCGGGTCGGTTGGAGGAGGGGATGGGGAGGAGCTGAGAGGATTGCACCACAAGAATCTCAGCCTGCAAACTCTCCTGGTGCAGAACTTGAGTTCATCCTGAACCCAACTGAGATATCACATACCTTCAACCTAACACTTCATCTCCCCACCCCCGCCATCCTCTCCACCCATCTCACGACCCCTTGAACAAGTTCCATCCCTCTATCGCTCTCCGCTAGCCTGAGGTCCGGCCTCCAGCGGCGGTCAGCCTCAGACAACGGGATGCAGCGATAGCATAGTGTTAGGGTGGAGTTGGGGGAGGAGGTGAGGTTGAGGGGTTTCTGGGGCTCGGGGGTGCGGGGCAGGGTCAGTTCTGCTTAGGCGTGGAGCTTCGAGATCTGGCAAAAGGCACAGGCAGGAAAGGAGGGGGAGAACGCACCAGACAGCAAAACCACATCCCCCCTCCTAACACCTGCATCTGCGGCTTGCGCCCACGTCTTGGCACATCCCCTCCAAGCGGTCACCCCCAGAACGCTTCCCTCTCCCCCCACAACAAGCTTCAGCACAGCAACCTCTTTCCCTGCCTCTTTGCCTTTACGGATCGTTACCGTTTCGGGACCGGAGACTTCCAGTACGCCGACGAGGATGTTTACCCTAGGAGGGGCGTAGCGCGCGCGTGAGAGGGAGGGGAGAAGGTGAAGGGGAGTGAGGGAGTGGGGGTTGACACGATAAGAGGGCAGTCGGTGGATCGAGGCTTCGGAGGAGGAAGCAGGTGTGGGGAGGTAGGATTCTGAGTCGGTCCAGAGGGAGGAACGAGTGTGAGAGGCTCCATCCCGGACGTTCGCTGTTCGTGATGTGTTGGGAGTCGGTTCCCATGTAAGAGCATGGGAGACCTCGCTCGCCTCTGCGCCTAGTATTTATCAGTACTTCAATGTACGGTAGCATATATCAACCATAGAGAATACGTACTCGTCTCCTCCCTCCGAGAATGAAGGACGACCTCCAGGCTCTCTCCCTCCTCTTCACCTTCATCTCTCGACATCGACATCGACCCCCCAAATATTGCATTCCGGTACAAATCGCTCACCTCCCCGAGTCGGGAATGAGCGGCGACATATGACGCCTTGGGAAGTTCGGCCCAGCTGTCGGAGGCGTCCTGCGGGAAAGGAGAGGGTGACGGAGGGGAGAGGGTGAGTCGGTGCCAGCTCCCTATTCCAGTTCCTGGTGAGGAGGAGGGAGAGGGAGAGAGGGAGGAAATGAGAGAGGAACGGGAGGGAGCGCCGAGTATTATAAGAGGTGGCATGTATGCGCTGAGAGTTGGCATACTTAGGAACAGACAAGGAGAAATGGAGACCCTGGAGGGGAAGTGAACAGTCACAAGGCACTAATTTTGAAGGATTGTATGAATTCTGGCGAGTCCTCAAAAGTACTTGTGTAGATGAAGGAAGCCGACTGAGATTTATACTTTCAAGCTAGGAAGACACGGACGCCCACCCCAACGTATTGTGAACAGCACAAGCGACCTCACGCTCTGAGAAACAGTAAGACGAGGTGCGGATCTATGTACTACACATCGAATCATGACACAGAGGTGTAAATCAACTGGAGTGAGAGTGCCGGTAACGTAATTCTCTCACCAGATCTGAGGAGACCACACACCTGCTGTAATTAGCTTGGCCATCCTCACAAGAGAACTTTCGTGCATAGGGGTGTAGATAAATGCATACCATAGATTGTGGAAGCTTGGTCAGTCCAAAAGTTCAGGTACAACAGATGTCCCCATTGATTCTGCAGCAAAAGTGCCACAGAAGAGAGTTGTCACGTCAGATGGACGTCGATATATAGGTGTGTGGTGTTGGAGGTTCGGTCTGAAGGCTGGTAGATTGTTAATGGCTAGCACACGACCCAATGTGAGCTAAGTTCAACCGAGTAATAAATACACCCAACTGAAGGGAGTACTATCCTTTACACGAAGAATGACCGGTATTTTACAGGACCCAACTGATAGAACAGCGGTGAGAGAAGGTCGAGACGCGTGGTGAGCGGAAGTGGATGAAAGCGTGACGCGGTGTACATTACACGTGACCTGTTGCGATGAAATGAATTGAAACGCAACTGTTCACTCTTCACACCCTTACCTTTTACTCCTTGCCTTTCGACTACAACTTGCAAGTGTTCAAACTGTTCATTGCAACTGCGAATATCTTCATTTCACTTCAATTTCTTATCAATTTCCTCATTTTATTCTCTCTTCTCAACCACCATGTCCGACTTCACCAGAGGTAACAAACAACTGGATCAACTACCATCAGAAACTAATACCCAAACAGTAAAGATCCTCTACACCCTCAACTCGTCCTCCCAGCTTCTACTCGCCCGCACGCGTATCCCCTCTCACATAATACCACAGCAACAACTCTCCAGTCCATTTCTTATCGTCCCCCTCTCCCACATCCTCAGTACCATCCTCCACCGCTCGCCCGAGCTCACCGCTGACCCTGGGAGGGACTGGTCCGTTTATGCCCTGGATCCACGTGAGTCGCGTCGCTCTGGAGGGGGATCGATAGGGGGAGGGGGTGTGATGGAGGGCCGTGGACTTCTGAGCTGGGTCATAGCAGGGGAGGAGGAGGTTGTGGGTCGCGTCGGCGACGGAGGGGAGGTAGAAGTTGGTCTGCGATTACAAGAGGTGCGTGAGCATAAGATAATCCCCTTCCCATACTCAATTCAACCGAAACAGACGAAAGCCATCACCCAACAGGCACATCATGCTGCGCTGGCGGTGCTCACCCGCTCTCCAGCACCAGGCACGCCCAACCCCAACTCAGTGCAACCGGGTCACACTGCCTCCCCGTTCTATGCGCACGCCCTGCGTCCCCCAACATCATCCCCCTTAGGGATGACCAACGCTTACCCTTCACCGTTAACAAGCTCGGTCCCCACTCCGGAACTGCCTTCCGTTCCCAACGTACCTTCAACCCAGAAACCACAAACGAAGGAAGCATCCAGGAAACGACCTCCCCGTCAGGCACTTGCACCCCTCCGCACGCAGAGCTTACGTGTCCAAGATGGACCAGTAAAGCAGTCCGGCTCTTCTCCCGTCCATCCACCGACCCCTTTACCTACTATTCCAGCCGCTGCAAGCAAGCTCCCGGAGCTTCACCTGCCTCTCAAGCAAGACCAGCGAGGACCAATGATCAAGTGCGAGCCGTCCCCAGAGCCGTCTCCTCTTGTGAGCCCCAAACTCGTGCCTGTGCAAGAGCGAGTGGACGCAGTATTAGGATTGGGACTCGCACTTCCCCGCGCGTCTCAGCCTCCTCCTGCAGCACCGTCTCCCCAACCCAGGGAAGAACAGCAAGTTCCTGCTGCACCCCCAACATCCTCGGCAGTAGCAACTGCAGCGAAAGCAGCTAGCTTGCCCCAAGGACCTATCCCTCCCGAAGCTCTGAAGAACATTGCGGACCTGTTGCAGAAAGAGAACAGCCAAGGATTGTTGACCGCGCTCGCGGGTTTCTTAGGTGTCGTGGGCCAGAGTCCCGACGCGAAGCAGCCTGAGACTGCAGCTAGTGGGAGGACGAAGTCCTTGCCCCCCGCAGGGAAGGAGCAGAAACAGTCGACTCAAACAGGTGGGAAGAAGAAAAAGGACGAGACGAAGGAGAGGGAGAACAAGGAGAATTATCGGCCTGCTCAGCCTGCACTTGTCATGTGTACGTCTGTTTATCTTGCCCTTATCCGGGGGGATACTTACGCGAAGGCAGCGAAAGACGGCCCGTGTTCGAATTGTGGTCGGGTTGTCACTACTGTCTGGAGGCGACCTAAGGGTGTGGAAGAAAGCGATGCCGCCGGACAGCTGTTGTGTAACGGTAGGTCGCCAGCTCCTGCATCTGGGAGTGGAGCTGATAGGATGACAGCATGCGGGATATACCAGAAGAACAATGCTATGCCTCGGCCGCGACGGATGTGGGGCGACCCGGAGGGCCTGCCAAAAGGCCGCAAGAGGAAACACGCTCCTTCCTCTGCCTCTGCTCCCCTGCTCGGGTCGGCCTGTGCCGTCTCTGGCCATGCAATGCCTGGCGACTCCTCCCTCCATCCTTCATCTGACCCAGCGGGACCTTCCAACGGAGTGCTCATCCACGTCCAGGGCGATGGGCGGAAACGTCGAAAGCGGACAATGATCTACGACCCGGAGATGGCGCGTGTCGAGCGAGAAGGATACTTCGGCCGAGCGGTCAAGGCTGTTCAGGAGGAAGAAGAGCGCAAGAAGGCTTCCCAGCTTGTGGACGACGTTGCGCGAGCTCTGGGAGGGTTGAACGATCTTGCTGAGGGGCAGGACCTCATGCCTGGTAGCGAAATGGAGGTGGAAGGTATGATAGATGGAAGAGAGGGAGTGCTTCGTGAGCTTGAGCGGAGAACGCAGAAGGAGAGGGAGAGAGTGGTCATCGAACTGGACGACGATGGGGAGATCGTCACCCCTTCTGCGACTGAGACGCCCCTGCCAGCGACGCAGAAGTCTGCCAACACAGATAACACTTCTACCTCAATTGGCGAGGAGCAAGAGTTGGACGCCGAGCCCAGGTCTCCCAAGTCTGTCCGGATGCAAGACCCAGAGCCAGCACCGGAGACGCCGTACATCGGTGCTCTGCCTGAAGGGGGGTCACTTTTCACTCCCGCCTCTGCACTCCGCTCCTCTTCCTCCCTCGCTTTGGTCGGCCACTCAAGTTCCTCCATCCCGGACGCGCCTACTTCCCCCAGTCCTAACCCAAGCCAGCAGAGGGCATGCTGTATCCCCACCCTCCGCTTGCCGCCTCAGCTCCGCCTGCCAGTGGAAGAGGGGGAAAGCCCGCTCGTCCCCCCCAGTTCCCCTCCAGGCGTGGGACAGAGATTTGACTTCTCGGGATTGCCACCCAGCTCACCGGTGTTGCTTATGGACAAAGAGGATGAGGATGTGGATGAACTGGACCTGACCCCTCCTGGAGATGCGATGGAAGGTCCGGGAGAGGAAGAGCTCCAGAGGCAGGAGCAGGGTCAGCAAGGTCAGGAGCAGGGTGAAGAAGAGACTCGATCAAGCGTCATCGACCGCGCAGATGCCGACGATCTTGCCCGTTTCCTCCAGGGGGAGATGAGCAGCGAAGCGATCGAAAAGCTGTTCATGGTGTCCGAGCATCGGGCCTCTCCAGTGAAGCACACCAGTCATGTACAGCAGGAGGTCGACTACTCGCAGCTGCCGTTCAACTTCCCCTTGGACTACGGTATGTTTGGTCCTGCTGGAGGAGCGGAGAGCAGCGCGGTCTCTCCGGCGCATGAGGTGCCCAGTATGCTTGGGCACGGTATGGGCGAGTACAGCTCTGAGGCTACCCTCGCTGTCACTTCCGTCACGGGGATGGAGCTCGAGATGTACGGGGATGCGAATGGCGGAGAGTACGACTTCAACAAGGAGTTTGGGGAGGTGATGAAGGAGCTTGGAATATCTGGGGGGTTCCACAACGAGGACGCTGGGAATGTACATGACCCGCATTCGATGGAGATGAGCGCTGAGACGCTCGAGGAGATCTTCAGGACGCTGAATGGAGATATGGGCGTGCTCGTCTAACCGACTGAGATAAAGGGTCATGTTTCTCCGGTTCATTTTTCATCTTTACCCAATTTCAATCACCTGCTGAGCATTTTCTCGGCTTGCATTCATCACTTTTAACCGTGGTTTCCGTTGCATTTTTTTTTACTTCAATTCAACTTCAGTAGCATTAAACATTAGCATTAGCAAGTAGCACCTCACGAATGAGCCAGAAATTTACAATGACATTCCATGAATGAACGTCGAGCCTCGAGATAATGACAGAATTTCTTGGATGATAGGGACGTCCTATGCCGCATGAAATCCGGCAACACTATCCTCTCACGAGACCGCCAAGGGCTGCTGTCTGATTCCAATACCAGCTTCAGGGGACGCCGATGGAGGCACGTATCCATTACCTTATTCTGCTCCTCGACATCCTGCAACAGCTAGCACGCGATGGGTGAAGAATGGGCCGCCAACGCCCTCGCGAAGAAGAACGCGCAGACCGCTGCCATTCCTGAGGAGTGGGTGATCACTCCCCCGCCAGCGGACAGGCTCAACGTCCTCGGTGTGCCTCGTGAGTGCGGCCTGTTGAGCGAGAAGGAGCTGGAGATCACAGAGCTGAGAAATGTGGATGCTCTGTTGGAGAAGCTGGCGAGTGGGGAGTGGACTAGCGTCGAGGTCACGACGGCATTCTTGAAGAGGGCGATTATTGCCCAACAAGTGGTGCGTGCCATCTGCTTGCTCTCACTGTGTGCAGGGATCCGACGTGTTCCCCAGGTCAATTGCCTCACGGAGATCTTCATTGACAAAGCGCTTGCTTGGGCCGCCTCGCTCGATAAGCAGCTCAAGGAGACGGGCAGACCTGTTGGGCCGCTCCATGGACTTCCTATCAGTCTCAAGGACCAGTTCTGTATCGAGGGATTGGACTGTTGTATGGGTGAGTCGTCCATACTTGAATGACCCAGCTAGGGGGCTGAAGGGCGGACAGGTTACGTCGCTTGGTGCAACAAGCCGAGCGAGAAGAACGCTGTGCTGGTCGACGTGCTGCTCAGTGCCGGTGCGGTACCGTTCATCCGTACCAATGTTCCTCAGGCGAGTCCGTAGATGTTAGTAGTTGAACCACGCTGATGGAATTGGTAGACGTTAATGTGGCCCGAGGCGTACAACGTCGTATTCGGGCGGACGGTCAATCCTGCTAATAGGACTCTGACCTGTGGTGGGTCTAGCGGTGGAGAAGGTGCTCTCGTCGCTATGGACGGGAGCCCACTTGGTGTTGGCACAGTACGTCTTCACCTGCTTTATTACTCTTTACACTCATCTCGTGCCAGGACATCGGCGGCAGCGTGCGTATCCCTTCAGGTCTGAACGGCCTCTTCGGCCTTCGCCCCTCCTTCAACCGTTTCCCCTACCAAGGCGCAGTAAACAGCGGCTACGGGCAAGAAGCTGTCCCCTCCGTCCTCGGGCCCATCACATCCTCCGTCTCCGGCCTCAAGGCATTCACGAAAGCCGTGCTGAGCCAGGAGCCGTGGTTGTATGACCCGCTGTGCGTGAGGAAGCCCTGGGATGAAGAGGCATATAGGCTCAAAGAGCATGGGGAGGGGAAGAAAATGTGCTTTGGGTTCATGTGGGATGACGGGGTCGTTTTGCCCACCCCGCCGGTCAAGAGGGCGCTGGAGATCGCAAAGGCCGCACTGGAAGCTGCCGGTCATGAAGGTGAGTTTCCTCTCCAGCGATGCTGGACGATACTGAGGGCATGTGACAGTGATCGAGTGGAAGGGAATTCATCACTACGAGCTGGGCCAAACTGTCGTATCGATCTTCAACGCCGACGGGAACGACAACTGTGCAGACGTATGCGAGGTCTCTGGAGAGCCTCTCCTGGACACGATGGTGCCCGAATTCCCTCTCGCAGAGCAGGATGAGCGCCCCATGACTGCTCACGACGGTGACGGGCCAAAGGGCCTCTTCGGCGAGTACGTACGCCTAAGCACGTACGAGCTCTGGCAGTTACAGTGGAGGAAGAGGGCGATGCAGAAGGATTATCTTGATCTTTGGGTCGGGACGAAGGGCGAGACGACGGGTCGGAAGATGGACGCGATCATCATGCCTATGGCGCCGCATCCTGCCCCGCCGCATGGCAAGTATAGGTAGGCGACGTGAACCGAGTGTTGAGGCGGGGCTGAACATGATTCAGCTATGTTGGATACACGATGGTATGGAACGTACTCGACAATCCTGCTGCAATCTTCCCGGTCACGACGGTTGACCTAGAGCTCGATGTCCCGGTTGAGAAGCACGAATTCCGGTATGCAGAAGACAAGAAAGTCTACGAGCTCTGTGTGTCCCCGCGCTTGTCTTACTCCAAGCTGTGTGCTGACCCCGTGCATTAGACACATCACCGGAAGTGTTCAAAGATGCTCCGGTTAACTTGCAGTTGGTGGGAATGAAATTGGAGGAAGAGGCAGTCATCGGCATGGTAGAGATGGTATCAAAGATTGTGGCTGAATACACTAAGTGATCAACGGGGGAGGCAGAGTAACATTATCCCATAGTACTTGTAATGTTGAGGTGGGCATCGGATATATCGGTGATGATCCTGAATAGGGAACCGCCGTCGTCAGGGCAACCCGTTGCTTGATTTCGCCCTCACTTGCCTTCATCTCTCAATCTACGCCTGAATGCTTCCCAACGTACAAGCGCACTACAATATGGCATCTGAGAATCGTATGACAATCGATTCAAAATGGAGACCCTGTTGTCAATCATGAAACCGGGTTGCTATTCCGAGTACCTCTTTCTGACGTCGACACGGTCGTCTGAAAATGGGACTCTCCTCATACCGACGTCCCTGTGCTTGCTTTCTGTCAACGCTCTCGATTGTCTTTATTCAGCTTGTTCTTGGCATGGCTCCAGTACTGGATCAGGATGTTCTTCCATCCGGAGAACAGGTGGAGCTCAAGATGAATACAGGTGGGTGCATGTCATGCCTCCTAGTAGCTATCCAGGTGACAGCGATACAGATATACAGCGCCCTCTTATCGAGAAACTAGGTGTTTGTAAGTCTCCCTCCGTGTCGTACCTATTTACTTCCGACTTGCTTTCCTGTTGTGGCGTGTAGTCCTCGTCAAGTTTGGTAACCATTACAATTATTGGATGTTGGATACGGAAACCAACACCTTTGACCTCACCCGTGGAGGCTCAAAGGATGCTATCACCTTCCCCACTTCAGCAAGGGGGAATTCGAGTATCACAATTGCACCGGAGAGGAGTGCTCTCGTCATCATTGACATGCAGAGTAACAAGCCAACTCTTCACGTTCCAGTCGGAATGCTGACCCGATCGTCAGATTCTTCTTGCATCCAGAGATGAACCCCCGTGCTGAGCTTGGTCGTGCAGCTGTCGGTCCGACACTGGACATGATCGACGCGTTCCGCTCCAACGGGATGAAGATCGCCTGGGTGCAATGGGGTATCACCGAGTACGACCTGAAGCATCTCGTCTCCCCTGCTCTCATCTACCGGTTTTCGGGCAACAAGAAGGCAGAAGGTACAAGCCTGTGTTCGGAGATGGGGTTTGTCCAAAATGGAACAATCGATGCTGGGAAGAAGCTCTGCAGGGGGTCATGGAACGCGCAGGCGTACGGGCCTTTGTATGACAGCTATCTGAAAGGGAAGGAGATGGGAACCGATTTCTACTTTGACAAGAGTGGGTACCTTGTCTCCCTTTTCCTCTATCATCAGTTAATACATTGCGGGTAGACAGTTTGTCGGGACTTTCAGGTGCTATGACTCCTTTAGAGATGTGGCTACGGGACAGTGGTATCACGACCCTCTTCTTTGGTGGAGTCAACACAGATCAGTGCGTTTGGGGAACAATGAAGGACTCTTCATTCAAGGGCTACGACACGATCATGGTCACTGATATTTGCGCGACAACATCGCCAGAGTTTGCGACGCAGATGGTTTTGCACAACATGCACGGACGGGGGTGGATAACCAACACGGGAATGATCTTGCCCGTCCTATGGCAGGTCAAGACGTTGTAACACCAGGGTACAGTGTCATAGAGAGACAACGAAAGGGTCGCATTTTGAGAATGTATAAGGAAGACAAACGTAGCCAAGCGCATGCAACTATCTCACCGTCTAGTAGCCAGCAGCACCAGGGGCCCTGTCGCCCTCCCTCCTCAGTCTCAACAGCACCTCCTTATACCTGCTCAGATCCGTCGTGCCAGGACCAGCACGAGCAAGGGTTTTGCTCTGCGAGTTCTCAAGCTCGATGAGCGAGCAAATGCGCGACCACGTGGTGCCTTCCGAAAGGGACGCGTTGAGGCCATCAAGGTACTGAGCTTCATTTTCCCTGTGATGCATAGTGTTAGCAGACAGTACGGAAGTGACACGGGAAGACCGAACTTGTTCTCGCGGATGTTCCTCTCTTTCTGCTTGTTGTAGTCCTCGTAGAACTGGTCAATACTCTCCTCAGCCTTCTTGATTGTATCCGCTTTCCTGCGCGCTGCCTTATCTTCACGCTCCCTGATCTGTTCGGCCTGTTTCTCGCGCCATTGCCTAGGAAAATCAAAGGGTAAATGGGGGTACGGGTGAAGCAGAGAGACAAGGAGCGCACTTGATCACCTCGCGCTCTTCCTCATCTTCATCTTGACTGAACAGACCAGGAGCAGGAGACAATGACATAGCAGGTGCGGATGGGGCCGCAACAGGGGCACCGCCTAAGAATGACGGGCGAAGGGTGGGCTGCGCAGGAGCCATGGGCTGGAACTGCATACATTCAGAAATGTCAAAGATGTTCTCAAGTTGATCAAAAGTTTTGCATACGGAAGGTGTATCATCCAGCTCCGGGAACTGGTTTTCGAACTTCTCGACTTCATCATCTCTCGTGATCTTGACAGCCGCTGGAGGTGCGGATGGTGCATCAAAGCCCCATCCAAAGTCGTCAACTGCAGGAGGTGGGGGAACAGAAGAAATTGTGCCCGTTAACTGAGTCGGGTCAAAGTCATCCGTGATGTCGGGGAAGGCAGAGTTGGCACGGTCGAGTTCGTGGTCGATGTCCATTGTAGAAAGTAATTGGGAGGTCGAGGAGATGTATGCACGAGAAGCAATGCGTGGATGTCAGTGGTCGTAGTGGCTGTGAAGGGGATCTTCCAAATACATCCGCGTTACGACTTGTTTTTCACTGCAACTACAGAAAAAAGATCTTGGACTTGACCTTCTCATGACCTCTCATCAGATCAGAGGTCTTCCGCTGATCATCCATGTCGAGTCCTTGTATGAGTTGTGCGGGAATATATGGAGAGCCTAAGAGGACAGCTCCCTGGTAGACCCATAGACCCAAGCAGTGGTCTCCGTATCAAATATATTTTTCTGAATTAAGTAAGCAAAATATGGAGTGGAGAATAAAAATACTACCTACTGTTGAGGAGACCAGCTATTGCTTTGACATGATGTCTGATCTTAGGTAAGCTAACAATGGATTTGAAAGACATTGTTGGTGAGATGTCTTCATGTCTCTTGATAACCTCATGTGCACTGAAGACAAACAATGATATTGCTACATGTAAGGACAGAGTATCTACCATGACCTCACCACTGCCTCATGCCAATACTCAATCCTTCTTCAAACTGTTGATGGTGTCAATCAACACCATATAAGGGCTCACACTATGAGCCAGAAGAATGACATTAAGGACTATGCATTCATTAGCAGGTTACACAATGGACAGTCATATGAGCACTTACCTAGCATCACCCTGATCTCAATCTTGTGCTTGGTGGCAAAGTCCTTGAGGGCTCTCGCCATGCAGCCCAAGCCGTACAGAATCCAGCCCCAGAAAATTGTTAGGGCAAGGAGGGCCTGTTGACTGGCAGGTTTCTACTTTGTCTTGGGGCTCTTCATAGCCCCATGGACCACTCCAAACGTTGCTGCAATGTTGCCGCTGAATGTCTTCCACATGGCATAGCCAGCATATGCTATGTTGCCCAGTTTGTCCTTCATGGTGAGCTCGGCATCATCCTTGGACTTGTCCTGTGTCAAGATCAGCTTGGGCAATATGAGGAACATGAAGACATCTCAGTCATCATGTCCTCTGTGTCAATGAGGAACACAAAGACATCTCAGATGTCATTGTGGCATTAAGGGAATACTCACCATCAGCAGCCCCCCCTTTTCCAACAACCCCATTTCCATCTCTTGCTGGGCAGCACAGCCTGCAGCAGTGAAGTGCTCACCCTGCATCCTCATCATGCTGATGAGCCTGTACTCAGCATCTGTGACTCGGTGCCAGCCAAGCTGCGCACCTCCCCCAGCCTTGTCCCCATCCTCCCCCACCTGCCTGAGCAACACAGATGACAGCGAGCCTGCCAATCACCCAGACGAGCTCTTCATCTTCCCTCCTCCCCCCATGGGGACCAAGCTTGACGCCACACCTTCCTCCATGCTCAACAGCATGGAGTTGGCCCTGTCATTCAGGTCACTGCTGGTTGAGTTGCTGTTGGTCATCATTAGTCTTGCTCTTCTTTCTTCTGGTCATGGTACAAATGAGAGATAGGATTGGAGGTTGGGTGGGGGTAACTTATTTGTTCACCATACAGCCAGCTGCCATGAGGCCAGAAAAGCAGGGTGCTGGGCAGCCCTGGCTTGTTCCCCTATTCTGGGTGCATTCCTGGAATAGGGGAACATCAGCTTCCCCTGTCTCCTGGAGGACTCATCAGCACCTCCCTTCAGTGGTAAAGACACTACATACCTACAACATCTCATTTGAGATGTCTTTGTGTCCTTTGCTTGTGAGAAAGACATGGTATTTAGTAAAAAAACAGAGAAAAGCAAGAAGAGGAGCAAATTATGAGAATCAGCTTCATTTGGACCCTGAGAGTACATGTGGATGATGCAAGGTGCCCAAGCTCATCATGTGTGATCCAGCACAGCATCATTCAGCCTCATCCCTGCCATCAGGAAACCACATCCCCTCTCCCTGACCTTTGCAACTCATATACTGTTGACCATCTCCCACCCTTCTTGTCAAACCTTCCAGCAAGGATGCAAACTACTGTCTAGTGAAATCACATTGTAAGTTCAATGGATCACTTGATTTATTGAAACTTATTTATCTGGACAGGAACTCTCCTTGCAGGATGTCAAAACGTGAGAAAAGCATGGCTGCCTGGGATGCAGGCGGCTACAGAAGTGGTGCTTTAGACAAACATATGTTTGCTTGGAATCTCATTGTATTATACACTAATACAGCTCTAGGTACCATTCCAGCCTCCAGGGTGCAAGACAGCAGCAGAATTCACCCAATTGTTTTGCCTCACCTGAGCATGGCTAGTGAGGGGCTTGAGGACATCTCAATTGAGATGTCTGCACCAGGTCCATTGAACAACCCCACCTCTGGTGGGGTGTGTCAGGCCGGTATTCCCACGGCTATTTTTTGGGCCTTAGAGACCATTGCAAAGCACTACAGGCCCTCACTACATGGACAATGCACCCTGGCAACGAGTCTCCACCCCCCCTGGATATTTGGCATGATGACTATTAGGTTTCCCCAGGTGACAGGACCACCTGGATATTTGGCATGATGACAATGGGTCTCCTCTGCAACAGGGATCAACCCACATGGATATTTGGCATGCCAACACCTGCCTTAGAGAGGTATCCAGAGACTGGTTTAGTATAGAGTACAGTTTAGAGTAGCTAGTATAAGTAGTTTCCAGAAACTCCTGTATCTAGCTCATTCTGCCCCTTTTCTGTTAGCATTATACAGATCTGATTATCCCTCACTGGATAGGCAGATTTGACTTGACTCAGCATACTTGACTTGACTTATTGCGACACTTGACTAGATGGACACTGAGCTCCAATTTACTGACCAATTTCTGATAGCTCAGCTTCAGGCTGACTCTGGCATTTCTACCAATTTTCCCCATCTCTCCCCTCTTTCCCTAGCAAGTTCTCACACACCACCCATCAGAGTGATATTTTGGACACCTTTTGGGTTGGATCATCATTCACACATGGCTGGCAGGACTTTATACTGACATCTTGGCAGATATGCACTTGCCTCTGTGTGAGGGACACAAAGACATCTCAAACGTAATAACAAAGGGCCCTGGTCAGTCCATCTGTTGTCCCTTTGTAGAGCTTCCTAACTGTTAGGGCAACACAGGCTGACTAAGTCTGCTCACCTAAGAGTGCCAAGAGTCTAAGCAGGCAACAAGGAAGTGGAGTAAACCTGATGACTAAGACCTATCTACAGTATAGGTACC